GAAGGCCTTGTAGTACCCAAGATTCTAGCAGGTAGATGTTGCCTTAGCAAAAGGTCTAAATCAGCCTAAAGTAAAGGCTGGTAACAAAACTTGGAAAGTAAGCCTTTAAAGGATCCAGCTGATTCTCAATAACTATTCTAATAAGACACTATCCCCCCATCCCCCCCAAAAAGTAGCTGAGACCTGTTGAACAAGTAGTGGATATTTCCTTGGGATTGTGCAGAAAGGGTTAAGAAAGGTAGAAGAATTACTTTTCATTAAAAAATGTCTGAGCTCAAATTGTTTAGTAAAAAAACACAGTAATGAAGCTTTACAAATGTAGGTAACTTACAAGTAAGATTTTTTTAGTTTGAAGTGGACTACCTTTTATTCTGTAAATTAATTCAATGCATTTTATTAATATGAATAAATTAATATTGGTTTATTAATTAATTTTCTTATTTCCTATTACTAAACTACTTCAGAGGGACAATACTTATCACCCCCAAATAGGAGACATTAAATTGGGATTTACATCTTGAATTGGAGAAGGCCTTTCTTATTATAGAAGGCAGTAGAGATAGAAAGTGTAAAGGAAAGATTTTTCAGTTTGGACTACATGAAAAGGTAAGACTGACAGGCAACTGTAATTACCGTAATTACAATATAATAAACTTATTTTAAAAAGATTCGCCACACATGATAAAGAATTGACATGCATGAGGAAGAAAGGAGTAACTGTTCTAATAGGGGAAAGAGCAGAGCTCTGAAGCAGGAGTTTATTAATAGGAAATTAATAAGAAACCTCTGGAAAACCATACCATTTCATCAAGCAAATTATCAGCTGAGTATGAGATAATATAAAGATATTTTCAGAATGAAGAGATGTAGAAAGTTTTACTTTTCATTCCCCTTTATGAAAAAACTACCTGTGGATAAATGAGCAAAACCAAAGCAGAGTCCAAGAAACAATATCCTTGACTCAGGGGCACCCCAGGCCGACAGTTCTGTAGTAGGTCTATGAAGCATTGGTCCTCATTAGAAGAGGAATCCAAAGAGCTCAGGAAAAAAATATCTTCAAAAAGCAGGTAGATAATAAGATTAAGGTAAAGTGATTAAGAAGTCGAAAGATCATTAGACTGTGGTAAAGATTTATTTACTAGTGTCAGTCAGAAAACAGTGATTAGAAATCTGGGAGAAGTCTGTATAAGAAATATATTGTCCAAATCTGCAGTGGAACAAAATAAGCCCTTGTTTTAAGCAACTGATAGAATGAAAGAAAAGATAACCCATTTGACATGGATGCTTAGAGTGTTGTACTGTAAGCATCACAGGACTGTGACAGAAAGCTACCTGTGCTTTTTACTGTATGGGTCTGAGTGCAGTACTTGATTTTTTTTTTTTAAATTACTTGTACAGATTATATGTGTATATGCAGAATACATAATTATTTTGTCTCACATTTTAGAATAAATCTATAGACAAAGCATGAGAAATAATAGATTAACTGAAAATTAAACATTAAAAAATTTTATATAATAGAAATGATATAGTTGGCAGAACTTGAAAATAGAGAGGAAGGGAGACTGGATAGGAAAACTAATTTACCTGTTTTACATAGAATAAAGATACCATTTAAATTCATAGGAATTTACATAGAATCAAGACATCATTTAAATTTCATAGGAAATTAGATGGTTAAAAGATGTTATTTAAAATTACAAAGGTAATCATGATGTATTACACGGGAAAAGGTTTGGTATGGGGTGGGTGGGCATGAACCAGCTTCCTCATGTTTTGCACCAGAAATTCAGTAGTATGATTTAGAGATGACAACATAAGAATCAGAGGTCTAAATATACTGATACCCTCCAGAATAACCAAAGCAAATTTCTAAAGTGTTAATCCCTGGAGAATAGTACTTGACTTGGGGGATAGGAGGTGGGACCTTTTACTTTTCATTCTGTATTATTTAGTCACTTTGAACTTTTACTTATGTTTAACCATCCTTAGTCAATGTCTGTTTTTAACTTCTAGATGTTTTACAAATCATTGTTAGCCATTGTTAATCTGTTGATGCATCCTTATGTCTTGAGATTGCTGAAAAACTAATGTTCTGATAGGCACATGAACCATCCCAACAAGGGGGGCGGCTGTTTTTGTTCCATCATACCACATCTGGGGGATAGACTTCAGCTGTTGTCTGTAGAACATTGACAACAATGGACTGAAATGAATGAATAGGAAAGGGTATCCAGGCTGGTGAGGCGGTCTAGAACATTCTATATGAAGAATGGTAAAGGGAACCACTGATCCATTGTTTGGGAAAATATAAACCAGGAGTGAGGGGAACATGACCACCAGCTTTAGATCTATGGAAGAAAGGGTGTATTGTTCTCTATGGGCAAACATAGAACCAATGGATAAAAATTAGAGAGTTGAAGCAATACAAAGAGCTTTCTAGCTACCAGAGCTGTGTAATGATGTCACTGTTACTGTTCAAACAAAGATCTAGTAGAGGGATGCTCACATTCAATTAGGATTCTGCTAGAGGACTTGTAAGGTTCCTTACAACTTTAAATTTCTGGGGGGCTAGTTAGAAAGAAATTCTTAAGGTATTCCACCATCATACTGTACTCTTGGTGATCAAAGTATACAATTAATTCAACACATGTTTTTTAATAGCCATCTCTTGGTGGACTTTAGAACACAGAGATAAGATGTGAATACATTCCACATGAATAGACACTGCTCAACAGATGTCACGAATGTGCCCTGTATAGGCTGTCCCCTTCTTTAGAGGCATAAAGATAAACCAATCATGGTCTCATGACCACATGATCTACAGGGAGACAGTTAAGTAGAGGTGTTTCATTCCCTTATAGCCGAAGAACAGGGTGGAGTCAAGGGAAGCGTAACACAGAAAGTGCTGCCTGCCCTAGCTTGCACTGTCACTCCTGGTCTGTCCCTCAACATGCTGGGTCATCTTGGACAGGCCAGGAACCTTCTCTGTAACGTGTTCATAACTTTGACGTACAAAATAACCAGGGCTAGAATCCCAACCGTGGTAGAATTCTATGATTCCAATATGGTTATAATTGTTTTTTCCTCATCAAAATGTTTCAAGAATTTATAAGAGTAATATGTTAAATATTTTTTCCTCTAAGAGTGTGTATACACCCCCCCCACACACACACACACACATACACACACACACACATATTTTTGCATATGTTGGGTAAGCACTCTACCACTGGGCTACAGCCCTGGCCCTTCTAGGTTTAATCTTTAATGGGTATCATTTCTGTTTTTTTCTCTTTTTTTTTAGTACCAGGGTTTGAACCTAATGATGCTTAACTGCTGACCCACATCCACAGCCCTTTTTATTTTTTTAATTTTGAGACATAGTCTCTCTAAGTTGGTTAGGGCCTTGCTAAGTTGCTGAGGCTGGCTTTGAACTTATGATCCTCCTGCCTCAGCCTCCTAAGTTGCTGGTATTACAGGCGTGGGCCACCATGCCCAGCCTTAATGGGTATCCATTCAAGTTAAGTTTTTGCTAATGAGTTTCCTGGAACTCATTAACCTTTTATTTCATGTATTTTTTAATATTTATTTTTTAGTTGTACCTGGACACAATACCTTTATTTTATTCACTTTTATGTGGTGCTGAGGATTGAACCCAGGGCCTCACACATGCTAGGCTAAAGCTTTACCACTGAGCCACAACCCCAGTCCCTATTTCATGTCTTTATGTAACATTTCCTTTGAAATGTTAAGCACGTTATAAAATTTTACATTAATTAGTATGATATTTATGACATTAATATTTCAGGAAATTTTATTTATATTTTAGATAATTTCTGTATTTGGAAGGGACACAATTTCATCAAATTTTAAATTTTATACCTTTTGAGCATTTAAAAATTGGTTTTAGAAGTAAAATTTTACCAGAATTGAATTTTTCAAAGAATCATTGAGATCCATGAAGTGATTTTTTTTCCTCCAGAAATAAACAAATGCGTCAAGGAAAAACACTAAGGCTGAATTTAATTACTATTCTTAATTTTTTGGTGTAAGAGATTTCAGTAGGTTTATAGAGCCCTTTAAGAATCTCTATAGTTTATTAAAGTGATTATAGTATTTAACCTCATAATCATTGATACTCAGAATATAATTTTTAAAAAAAATTTTTAAGTTGTTGATAGACCTTTATTTTATTCATTTATATGTGGTGCTGAGAACCGAACCCAGTGCCTCACACATGGTAGGCAAGTGCGTTACCACTGAGCCCAAGCCCCAGCCCCTCAGAATATAATTTTGCAACAACAAAAACATTAAGTCTTCCTGGGACTCCAGACCTTGACCACAACCACAAGTATCACCCTGGACCCTAGTCCCCAGTTTTCAGTCAGGAAAAGGGCAAAAATTGGCACCTCTTTTCACTGTGGGGTAAGTAAGGTCTTAACCATGGCTCCTGTAAAGCACTCAGCCACAAACTGACCAGGAAGCAGCCTCACAAGAGTTCACCCTCGACTGCACGGGTGGAGAAACCCACCATCACACGCACTTGTAGCATTTTTTATGTCTACATCTTATCTTCCCAGTGGACTCCAGATGCATAAGGGAGAGAATGTTTTGTTCTCTGTCACCTCCTTATTGTCGAGCACATGTGAGCCATATATGGGATTTAGGTTTCCTAATAGCAACAAAATGAAAAGAACTAGGAAAAATTAATTGCAGTAATGTTTTACTTAACCCACTATATCAAAAATATCATTTCAATGAATGATCAATATAAAAAAATTATGAGATATTTTATTTTCTTTTTTGGTACTACATCTTCAGAATCATGTACTTTGCATTTAACACATCTCAACCTGGACTAGCCACATTTAAAGTGTCAGTAATCAGAAATGATTGCCATATTAGACAGCAGAGGTCTGGCATATTATGGTTAATTAGTAAACAAATATCTCTCACAGTAACTTTTAAAAATCTTTTTCCCCCCTCAATAGATTACCATGGCTGCGGGAGTCTTGCCTCAAAATGAACAACCGTATTCCACATTGGTGAATAATAGTGGGTATGCTGCAAACATGAAAGGTAATATCTCTTTAATATGCTTTTTATCTCTGTTCAAACTAGTATTTAATAAGTCGCTGTGTGAATGGATGTAAAAGAAAAGGTTCTATTCTTCATTTTAGAATTCTAAGGTCCAGGTGTTATTTAAGGCCTTTTTGTTTATTTCTGCCTTACCATTTTGGCCTTTTAGAATTTCTTTTCATTAAAACCCTGAATAATAATCTTGGCCTTTTCAGAAGGGATGTTGCAAACAGTGTTTGTCTCCTACATTATTATCTTAGACTGAAATTATGCGTTTGTTCCTGTCATCAAACGCCTACTTGTGAATCAACCATTCATTTTTTCTCCTGTAGTTACTTGCAAGTGTCACTTATAAAGCACATTCAGAAGCACTCAAGTCCTACTTCTCTCTGTGTTATTTTTTCTCTCCTCTGTTGCCCTCCCACACTGTTTTGATTTTCCCGTGGCACCTCAGCTAAGGAAGCGTGCTGTGACTTGGACTCCTACTGCCACACTTGCCCCTCACTCTACCACAGTTCTAAGCCGAGACCTGCCCAGATTCTACTTTGGCCTTGTTGGCTGTGTTATTCAGCTTTCCATCACTGTGACAAAATGTCTGAAATAATTCATCTTAAGGAGCAAAGGTTTATTTTGGCTCATGGTTTCATAGGTTTCAGTCCGTGGTTGGGCGACCCTGTTGCTTTTGGGCCTGTGGTGAGACAGAACATGGTGGCAGAAGCAGATGTGCAGGAAACTGCTTACCTCAGGCTAGCCTGGAAGCAAAGAGAGAGTGAGGAAGGGACTGGAGTCCCAATATCCCTGTCAAGGGCACACTCCCAATGACCTAACTTCCTTCCATTAAGTCCCCCCTCCTAAAGGTTCTGTCACCTCCCATTATACCACGATGACAAGCCTTTAGGATAATGGGCCTGTGGGGGGACACTTAATATCCAAACTGTGACCTTGGCCTATAAGTGTTAGCCAGGAGGGATGTTGATTAATTTTTCTTCATAACGTTCCTTGCACTATTTTCTAACTGCCCGCTCTGGGTTTTACCTAAGTTCACTTTATTCCTATGTATAGGGAAATTTGGTAGAATTTCTTCACAGAGTACGGATTGGATGATGAAAGAGCAGAAGAGGAAGGGCTAACTGAAGGGATTTCAGTTCAGTGTCTTGCTGGGAGCAGTCTGTTCTCAAAGTAGATGTGTTCTTTTTGGAATCTGGCCACTCCACCAGGGGGAGCTCTCTTACATCAAGAAAACTAGGACTCTCCCTCTTGGCGAAATTTCAGATTCTTGTAGCTCCTCCTCCCCCCCCCCCCCCCCTCCCTCCTCCCTCCTGTCTGTTATGTCTGGTTTAAAAAGCTCTAATGTTGCTGGTAACTTCTTTGTGGACAGCCTCTATGGGCCAATTTTACTGTCTGTTAGTTTCCCTGGTCTTAGAAGTACTTTCAGAAACAAATACAATAATGATGTCTGCTTGTTCTTTCAGTGTAGACTATGTTTTCCCCAAAAGGAACATTCCAGCCAACAAGTCTGATAGTCAGCACTATTCTTTTTTCTTTAGAATGTTATCTTTTAGTTGCTGTTTCTCAACAGGGGCTCTATTGGCTTTCGGGGGTGGAGCCCTAAGTATTGATGACATTTAGCATTCCTGGCCCCACCTACTAATCCAGGAACAACCAAAAAAAAAAAAAAAATCAGGTTCCAGTAACAACCAAAAAAAAATCACTACACATTTTCAGATGCCTCCAGAAAGGGAAGGTTGTAACATCTCTATTGTGATCCACCAGGAAGCTGATTTTTACTTTCCAAAAATATTTTTTAATTAAAATTTCCCTCATTATACAAGTGTAGCTTTTTAATTGGAAGGAAAATAAAATGTACTTTATATCCAACTTTCTTGAAGTAGATATTTATAACGGTAATCAATTATACTTTATGGTGTTTTAGGGTGAAAGTAGTTTTTTAAATGTTGGCCAATGAATCAAAGGAAAATTTAATGGGAGGTACATATATAATAAGTATTTTCAGAGAAAAATAGAAAACTCATCAAGAACTAGCTTTGGAATGAGACAGACCTAGATTTAAATTTTGGTTCTATTACTCCAAATCAAAACAAAATTCACCACTTTTATACAGAGTAAGATAAATGTCCCCTTGTCCCCATGTATTTATCATCCCCCAAGTACATGCCCAACCTTAACAATTTCAGACACTCACTTCCTCCACTCACCTCCTTTGCATCTGTGTTTCTTTGAAGCAAACTTGAGGCATCACGTCATTTTATTCATTAAATAACCCACCATTGTTTCCATACTAAAATAATAAACAATTACTTAATATAATCAAATACATAAACCAGTGTACAAATTCCTAATAGATATATCCCATAGATGTACTTAGGTATAACATTTATGTCAGAATCAATACATTATAGTTGGTTGCTATGCAGCTCAGATCTTTTTTAACTTGGGTTTTGCCTCTTTTTCCTGACAGTCTATTAGTTGAAGAAATCAAGTTTTTTTTTTTCTTTTTCTCCTGTGAAGCTTGCCATGGTCTTTATTTTGCTAATTATGTCCATAAGATATTTCCTCTAAGCAGGAGGATGGATATAGTGTTAAGTCAGATTGTTTCTTTAATTGGAAAAAATATTTCATGAGGGATGCAATATTCCTCATGGAAGGATGTCCATGATGTCTCTCCCCCTTTAGGTAATGTTGATTTTTTTAAATTTTGAAATAACTTCAAACTTACAGAACAGTTGGAAGGAAAGCACATTAAAAACAAACAAACAAAAACAAAAACTCGTATTATTCACCGTAGATCCTCATTTGAATTTGTCAACTGACCCAGTAGGATATTTATGTTTTTCCAACCCTTTCAAGGATCTAGACCTTGGTGGGCCTTTCTTGACTTTAACATCTTTGAAGATCACAGGCTAGTTTTTTTGTAACGTGCCCTTCAATTTGGTTTGTCTGCTGTTTCCACATGGTGAGTCTGAGGTTATGCATTTTGGGTAGAAATATCACAGAAGTGACTGTTTTTCTCACTGAATCCCTCAAGTGCCACAAGGTGTCATTTGTCCCATGATTCCAAATGTTTGTCGTCACATCATTAAAGTGGTATCTGCCAAGGTTTACCCACTATAAGTTATTCTTTCTCCCTTCATAGTGATTTATGGAAAGATGCTTTGAGACCATGTGAATTTCCTTGTTCCACATCCAGCTTTGACCCAGTAATTTTAGAACCCATTTATGTTTTTTTGCCTGAATTAGTTATTGTGATAGATAACTAAAGGGAGATTTTCAAATTCCATCACTCATTCTTTATTTACTATTTGGCATTCTACACCGTAAAGAAGAATTTTTTCTTCACTTATTTATCGTTTTATTTTAGTGGGGAATCCTATTTTGTTCAATGGAATATAATCTTATTATCAGTTGATGCTTCAGTTGTCTTACATTTGTCCAGTAGGAGCCGCTTCAAGCTGTTAACTATGTTCTTTGGACACATCTTCACCATTCCTGCATTCTTTACTCTGTGGCCCAGTAAGATCTTCCATCTTGTTCTTTCTCTGCTCCAACCCTGAAATCAACCCTTCCTCTAAGGAACCATTGTTCCTTTGAGTGAAGAATAAGTACTACTTAGGAACCAAAATTTGGGCATGCTTACTACTACTGGCATGTTAAGATTCTCAGACTTCTCAGGGGACCAAGCTGGGGAATATGTGTTTGTACATACACATACATATCTACCTACTTTTTACATGTATATTTATTGCTATTTCTATTAACACATATTGAAAACCATGAATTCACACTGTTACTTTCAATTTGAATTCAACATTATCTATTGTTCCAGCTTTTCCTTTTTTTGTTTATGATTTTCTTCTCCAAGAATGAGAGACCTGTGCTCACTTCAGCAGCACATATATTACAACTGGGATGATACAGAGGAGATTACCATGGACCCTGCTCAAGGATGACACACAAATTCATGAAGCATTCCATATTTTTCTACAATCTTCCCTTTTATAGTTCATCAGCTACGAAATAAAATAAAACTTTTGCATGATTTGCTGTTTCAAGAGAAAAAGAATGAGAAACCTGGCTCTTCTTACTCCTTATGTGCTTACTTATATACTCAGCCTCCCTTTACCTGGCCAGTCTTTCAACCCTGCACAGCCATTATCTGCCTCAGCAATTTTTTTCCACACAGAGCCATACTCTGCCCAGCCACATACTGTATACCACTCTGCTAGTTGCCTTCCCTGCCTTATCCCTGACATCTGTTAGATGACCTCTGCTTAGGGCTACCTAGTGTTTTTTTCTTTTCTTGATGACACATATATTTGTATATTCTTATACATTGAAATGTTGAGATAAGTAGATATTCCTATAAAGTTGTAAGAAATAGTACAGAAGAATCCCTCTTTTCCTTTAGTTTCCACTAATAGTAACATCTTAAGGAGCTATAGTATCATAATCATCACAGCCAAGATTTTGACATTGTTACAGTCAAGATCAACAGGAGGGTGCCTCTTGCTTCCTTTTATATTCAAGGCAATTGCTAATGTTCCCTAGTTTTATAATTTGTCATTTTAGCAAAGTTATGCAAATGAAGTCATACAGTGCATAGCCCTTTAGGATCGGCTCTTTGTTCATTCAGTGTAATTCCCTTGAGTTTCATCCAGGTTGTCATGTGTTTTGATAGTGTATTCCTTTGTATTGTAGAGTAGCATTCCATGGTATGGATGTACAACAGTATGTTTATCTTGTCACTCATTGAAAGGTGTGTGGGTTGTTTCCAGTTTGGGACTATTATGAATAAAGCCACTCTGAACATTCACATGCAGGTTTTAGTGTGAAGATGAGTTTTTATTGTTGTAAGGTAAAATCTCAAAAGCATACTAGGTCAGGTGATAGTTGCCTATTTCATTTTATATGAAACTACCAAACTTTTCTAGAGGTGTAGAACCATTTTACATTCTTACAGCACTGTATAAACAATCAAGTCCTCAGCAGCATTAGGTGTTACCACTGTTTATTCTAGCCATTCTGACAGGCATGTAGTAATATCTCAGTGTTGTTGTTGTTTGTTTTTCCGACGTTGGGGATCCATCCTAGGAACTCGTACGTGCTAGGCAGGCACTCTACCACTGAGCTGCACCCCCAACCCCTCTTTGTGGCTTTAATTTGCATTTCTCCAATGGCTAATGATTATAACCATCTTTTCATGTTCTTATCTGTCATCTGTGTATTCTCTTCTGACCTGTCTATGCATGTCTTTTGTCCACTTTCTTAATTGGATTTTTAAAATTGTTGGGCATTAAGAGTTATTTATACAATCTGGACATTAGATCTTTATTTGACATATGCTTTTGAAAATATCTTTTTCCAATCTGTAGCTTACCTTTCCAGATCTTCCTGATCTTTTTCTGAGAAAAAGTTTTGAATTTCATGATGTCCAGTTTTTCTTCTGTGTATTGTACTTTTGGTGTCAGGTCTTCAGAATACAGCCTATTCCAGTGTCTTGAAATTTTGTGGGTCTGTTTGTAGATTCTCTCTTCTGTGTCATTGATCTGTACATCTGCCCTCCACCAACACCACCCTGTTCTGATTACTAAAGAGTAATGCTTCCCATTTATTTTTCTTTTTCAAGATCATTTTAACCAGAATCTGTGACTTTTCATAGAAATTTTAGAATAAGCTTATGTATGTCAACCAAAAGCCTTTCTGGGATTTTGATAAGAATTAAACCTATAAATCAATTCAAGGAGATTTCCATCTTTACTATGTTGACCTAATCCAAGAATTGACCCATTTCTTGTAAGTTGTCAAATTTAGAAGCACCAAGTTATGTGTACTAGTTCTTTATTATTTTTTAATAATATCTATCTTGATAAACTGTTTCATTTCTTACATTGGTCATTGTGTCTTCTTCTTTTCCTTTTGTCAGTCTTTCTAGAAATTTATCAATTTCATTTTTTCATAGAGCCAGCTTTTAGTTTAACTGATTCTCATCATTGTTTCCCTGTTTTTATGTTTTGATTTATGTTCTTACTTTTTATCCTTCCAATGATTGCTTTGGGTTATTTGCTCTTATTTTTCTATAGTCTTATGTTGGAACTTAGATTATTGATTGGAGACCTTTCTTCTTCTCTAACATAAGCATTAAGTGATATAAACTTCCTTTACCACTCTGCTTTACCAACAGCTATGTATGTTGTATTTTCATTTTGATTCAGTTCTATGTGTTTTGTAATTTCCTTTGAGACTTCCTCTTTGACTTATGAATTATTTTTAAGTTTGATGTTTAATTTCCAAGTCTTAGGAAATTCTCCCTATTATGTTTCTATTATTGATTTTTAGTTTGCTTCCATTATGATCAGAAAAATATTCTCTGTAAGAGCCTTTTTTTAAAAAAAAAAAAAAATCAGTGCCAAGACATTATAATTAAAATTCTTGTGGATATTTTCAACATATCATGTATTTCTTGATTGTTTCTTCTTACTCGTTGTGATTTTCCTAGTTTGTGATATGACAAGTGATTTTCAACTGCATCCGGGACATTTTGGATCCTAGGTTTTCTCCTATTAGCAGGCAGTCTCTCTGTTGAGGTCTATCTCAGGACAAGGTCAGTGTGTGTATTCAGATCCCTGCTCAGCCTTGCTGACACCATGCCAACAAAAGCAAGGGCCTCCCTGCACATGGCCAGGTGGAATCTCAGCTCTCCCACCAGCTCTGTTGACACCTTCATGGTGAAGATGGGGCACTGCCTTGCACTGTCATGCTGTCTTTGAGCAGGGGCGTAAGATCAGCTCCCTGAATAAATAGGTTGCTAATGCAGGCCCCACTGCCACCTGAGAGGGGAAGTCGAAGGTGACTCATACCACTTTGTTGCTGCAAGATGTGGCTGAAGCTGATTTCCCTGCTAGGCCCTGGGGACCTTATCGGAGGAGGAAGTAGGAAGCATAGTACCAACTACCCTGCCTCCTGCCACTGCTTTTCTCCTCATGGATACCATGTGGGGATACCATGGGGCTCAGCTTCCCTCTGGACCCTGTTGGCCCTAGGGAGTGGGTGGGGAATGTTGGTCATCCTGCTTCATTCTGCCTTATTCCTCATGGATGGCAGGTAGGAGTAGGGAGGCTCAGCCCCCTTCTGGGCTCCACTAACACTAGGGTAGACAGGCCATGCCAGCTAGCCTGGCTCCGTGCTGCATTGTTCATTTATATTGCTGCAATATATGTGGAGGTTTGTATTGTATGTGGAGGTTTGTCTCCCCACCGGCCTTCCTTAAGACATTAGGGGGAAAGCAGAGTGCTCACTGATCTCAGCTTGCACGTCTCTGATGCTGCATGGGTGTGGAGGTTTAGTTCTCCACTGGGTTACTGACATGGGATGGATAGTGAGCCTAATGTTGACTATCCATGCTTCAAAACCTATAGTAAGACTTTTTTTTTTTTTTGTACCAAGGATTGAACCCAGGGACACTTAACTACTGAGTCACATCTCCAGCCCCCCCTTTTTTTAATGTTTTATTTGATACAGGGTCTTCTTAAGTTGTTAAGGGTCTCACAAAGTTGGTGAGGCTGGTTTTGAACTTGCAATCCTCCTGCCTCAGCCTCCAGAGCTTCTGGGATTACAGGTGTACACCACAGCACCTGGGCTGTGATAAGACTTCTTGTTGCTACGTGATGGTGGAGGCTCAGCTCAAGCAAGGCCTTCATAACACGGCTTTGGCAGAGGAATTGCAGCACTTCCAACTTCCATTTGATGAGGTGCGGGAAATTTTTTTATGAAGAAATGACCACTCAAACATTTAAAAAATTATTGAGATATAATGAAAATTATATAAGCATATAACAATTTAAATTATACTATGTAATTATATAATGAAATTCAGCCTTTTGAAGTAGTGTATTCACATTGATTTTTAGTGTGTACATGAGATGGTACAATCACTACTATCTAAATTCAGAACATTTTCTCAGACCAAAATGATACCATAAACCAGTTAGCAATCTGTCCCCTTTCCATCTTCTCGCTCGCTGGCAGCCCTTAGTCACTTTCTGTCTCTGTTGATTTGCCTATTTAGGACATTTAATATCAGAAAAATAATACAATGTGTGGTCTTTTGTGTCTGCCCTTTTCCACTTAACATAACATTATAATGTTTTCAAGATTTAACCATGCCTTACCATATATCAGCACTTCATCCATTTTATTTGAATAATACTGCATTGTGTATATGAGATTTTGTGTCTCCATTTGGGTTGATGGACCCTGGATTGCTTCAGCATTTGACTACTACAAATAGAACTGTTATGAAAATTTGCAGACACGTTTTTATGTGGATGTATTTTTGTTGTTGTTGTTGCTCTGGGCATAAACCTCAGAGTGGAATTACTGTGTTTAACATGTTGAGGAACTAACTGTAAGTCAAATTGTTTTGATTTGTGTATCCCTAATGACTAATAATGTTGAACATTTCTTCATCTACCTATTGGCCATTTGTATATCTTCTTGGGAAAAATGTCTATTCAAATTCTTTGCCCATTTTTAAAAATATTTATTTTTTAGTTGTAGTTGGACATAATACCTTTATTTTATTTATTTTTTTGTGGTGCTGAGGATCGAACTCAGGGCCTCACATGTGCTAGGCAAGTGCTGTACCACTGAGCCATAACCCCAGCCCACTCTTTGCCCATTGGGTAATTGATCTTTTTATTCTTGTGTTGTAAGCTCCTTACATATTCTGAACATATTAGTTTACTGTTAATTAATTATTGATTATTATTAACACTAGTTTTTTGGTTTGCTCTTTCTGGCTTTCTTCATTTGTTCTTTTGAGTTTGAGTTCTTCATTTGTACATCAGCTAGACTACCAGAGGTAGTTTTTGAGGTCACTCTGAGGTTTGTTCTTACTCCACCAGAGTACTTCTTAGTTTATCTCTTTCTCTGGTTCTCTCTGGTAGTCTAGCTGATGTACAGTTTCTCTCATTGCTCAGGTAGCCACCAATCTCCTCTAAATTGCTTAACACCAAAGCCTCCCTTCCTTGTTTTTGAAAGCATCCATAGGCGTGAACTTAACCTACATTTGTTCTTTTGAGTTTGGAGTTATTGTTCGTACTTTGTTGCTTCAGTACAACTCTACTTCCACCTGTTTACTTTATGTTTGTTATATAGATTATGTTTCTGTATTGTTACAGATCCAACAGTGCAATTACACGCTTATTATTTTGTACATCCATATTTTTTAAAATCACCTAAAGGAAGAAAAGAGAAGAAATAAACATTTATACTATCTCATGTAATTACTTTTATGTTATACTCCTTTGTAATTTATGGGCATCCTTCCTGTTACATGCAGTCACCTCGTTGTCATGGATAACGTGGCTTTCAACCTGAAGAAGTTCCCTTTAGTATTTCTTGTAAGGTGGGTTTTCTGGCAACAAATTCTGTTTCTTGTTTACCTGGAAATACCTTTAATTTCTCTTCATTTTTGAAAGATAATCTTGTGGGGTAAGAGATTCTTGGTTGAGCTGGACACAGTGATGCGTGCCTGTAATCTCAGCAAAGCGGGAGGCGGAGGCAGGAGAATCATGAGTTGAGGCCAGTATGGGCAACTTAGCAAGACCCTGTCTCAAAAATAAGATATAAAAAGGGCTGGGGATGTCAAAAGACCAGCACTGGAGGGGGAAAGGAAAAGATTCTTGGTTGAGAGGGTTTTATTTTCAGCACTTTGCATATGTCATCCCTCTGCTTTTTGATCTCCATTGTTCCTGATGAGAAATAACTGTTAATCTTGTCCTTTTCTCTTATTTTGGAGCATTTTTACTATTTTATTTTTTACCATGGTGTTTCCTGTTGAATATCTTTGCATTATCCTGCAGAGAGCTGATTGAACTTCTTCAATCTATCTTCAAGTTCTCCAATTCATCCTGAAGCTTCAAATCTGCTCTTCAGTGAATTTTTCATTATTTTTGTACTTTCCATTTTATTTATTTTTGAATTGCCACTTGCTTTTAAAAAATGATATTTCTTTATTGATAATCAATCTGAAGAGAAAATGTCATCATAGCTTCATTTACTTTTTTTTAAAAATCTTTTAGTTGTTGCTGGACCTTTATTTTATTTATTTGTATGTGGAGCTGGGAATCGAACCCAGTGCCTCACACGTGCTAGGCAAGCGCTCTGCCCCTGAGCTATAATCCCAGGCCTCTTTACTTTTTTTAACTTGGTATTTCTTTTAATTTAGTTAATTTTTATTGTTACATTCTAATTATACATAATAATGGGATTCATTTCGCCATATTTGAATGTACACATAATTTAATCAGTTTCATTTCCCAGTTTGTTCCCTTTCCTTCTCCTCCTCCTTCTCCCTGATCTGTTTGCTCTACTCTACTGGTCTCCCTACTATTATTGTCATTGTTATTTTAATTAATGCATTATATTTATATGTAATTGTGATTCATTATAGTATATTCGTATATGGACACAGCATCATTTGGTAGATTTCATTCCCCAGTACTTTCCCATGGCCTCCTCCCTCCCTCTTGATCCCCTTCCTTTTCTCTGTTGATTGCCCTTCTCTTTTCATGAGATTCACCCTTTTTAAAAATTCTTTTTCTTGTTTTCTCTCTAGCTTCCACATATGAGAGAAAACTTTCAACCTTTGACTTTCTGGGTCTGATTTATTTTACTTGATATTCTCCATTTCTACCCATTTACCAGCAAATGACATAATTCCATTCTTCTTTATGACTGAGTAGAACCCCATTGTGTACATATACCACATTTTCTTTATCTATTTGTCTGTTGATAGTACCTAGGCTGGTCCATAACTTGGCTGTTTCAAATTGCACTGCTATAAATGTTGTTCTACATGAATCAATATAATGTGCTGATTTTTAATACCTTGGGGGTATATACCAAGCTTCCTTTACTTTTTTAGGCATTATTTCCTTTAGGTCTTCAAATATAATGCACTAATTAAAGGCTGCTTTGAAATCTTTGGCATATCATATGTCTGGGCTCTCTCACAGATAGTTCCTATTGACTCCTATTTCTTTCCATCTCCCAATTGTTGTTGAAACTGGAAATTTTAGATGTTTGGCTTGTTTTTATTGTTGTTTACTTGTTGCTTTGTTTAAAGATGACCATTTTAGTGAAGTCTGTTTTCTTCATAGTTTAAGGCCTTTGATGTGACTCCTCAGAGGATATGATCTGCGGCTAGGCAAACAGTCACCTTGAGATATCAATGAATCTATCAGGGCTCTCTTTCTCTTTCACAAATCTTACTATTAACCCTAACCCCTAACCCTCACTTGTTAGCACACTAGCTTGCTGGTTCCACTAATTGCCCTCTGATTACTCTGTTGTTTGACAAAGCCTTGGAACATCTATTGCTCCACAGTCTGATCTAGTTAAGTTTGAGCAGTGGTAGTTTTTGAGGTCACTCTGAGGTTTGTTCTTACTCCACCAGAGTACTTCTTAGTTATCTCTTTCTCTGGTTCTCTCTGGTAGTCTAGCTGATATACAGTTTCTCTGATTGCTCAGGTTTCTCAGGAGAAACCTGAGCAATCAGAGAAACTGTATATCAGATTTGGTGTTAAGCAATTTAGAGAAGATTGGAGCCACCAATCTCCTCTAAATTGCTTAACACCAAAGCCTCCATTGCTTTTGAAAGCATCCATAGGTTTTGTTCCAGATAAAGATAGTTTTGGGGAGAGCTTCAGAAATTAAAGACCTTCTCCCTCTCTACAGAGTCTCTGGGCCATGACTCTAGGGCTTAGGGCAGAACAGTGGCCGACTTCTCTGAGTAATTTCCCTGCCTTGCAAACTGAGTAGGGGCAGAAGCTTCTGGTCTTCATGACTTTCCTGAGTGTGGAACTTGTGATCTCTATAAACAAGGTAGAGTGAGAGCACTTTAGAACCAAGAATTCTCAGCTTACTGCACTAAAAAAGATTAGTAAAGAAAATTAAAGATCTAAGTAAATGCAAGATGTCCTTTGTTCATGGATTAGAAAGCTTAATATTGTTGAGATGTCAGCACAACCTAACATGAACTACAGATCCATTGTAATCCAAGTTAAAACTGTAACAATGGTTTATGCAGAAATAGAAAATGATCCATCACAAAAATTCAGAAGAATCTCAGAGGATTTCCAAATAGCCAAAATAATCTTCTAATATATTGAACAAAGTTAGAGGATTTATTTTCTGATTTCAAAACTTCCTACAAACCATGTTGATCAAAACAGTATAGCAATGGCATAAGACAAACACAGACCAGGGGAATAGAATAGAGAGCCCAGAAATAAGCCCTCACATGGTCAAATGGTCTTCAAGAAGGGAATCAAGA